GGGTTTTTGTGCAGGGGTTTTGCTATGATGTCTTTGTAACTGTAATTGATGCTGACTTTTTGACAGTTTGAATGTCGAAACGAACAGATGAGCAACGAGAGCTGAAAACGAAAACTGAAACTGGAATAGAAATTGAAACTGAAACTGAGCTTCAGATGAGCAGTTGAATACAGTCTGAAGAGGGGACAGATGACAACTCTGATTAGTTGTGCGACAGTTTTGTGATTTGAATTCAATTATGACATGCAAAAAGCTGGCAGGTGGTTTGTGTACAGGCGAGATTCTAGTACTTCAAAACAAGTTAAAACAGAATCAATTCGACTATCGAAAGGTCGGACTTAGCATCAATAAACCATTTCTTCTATTATCTATTAATTAAACTTATCTATTTAATAAAATTGTATTCCATTTGTGTAAAACTAATTATAAACTAAACTTATAAATAATAAACTTGTGAAATAAATGTTTAGAAACAAAGCAAACATTTAAATATACTGAATTTAAAATATATTTTGTAGAGTTTTTAAAATACTATACAATACATTGTAATGTCCGAAATGTACATCATTAAAATTTTAATTTAATATAATAATATTTAATTGACTGTGGGGAAAACTGCGAGTGCCTTGGATATTTTTCCAACACTGCAATTGCGAAAAGGAAATTCGAGGCGACCCCCCTCCCAATTTTTCACCCTCCTCCCCTCCCCTTTTTTGGGGGTAGCTGAAAGATCAATAAACACACCGTTAAGAGTCAATATTTTGATTTTCCTGCATGCGGGGGTGGCAAAAAAAAATGGAAAGGGCGAGGGGCAAACAAAAGGAGCGGCGCACTGAGCAAATAGGAAACTTCGCCAAAGCCAAACAAAGCAAAAGAGACAGCAACTGAGCCGAGTTTTCCCTATGCTCAGCCTTTTGTCAAAAAGAATCAACAGAGACGAGGGGAAAAACTGAAATCGGATATTAAACGCCGCACATAAAAAAAAACCAACAAACAAAGGCCCAACGAGGAGAAACAGGAGACCTCGAAGGATATTTTGAAAAGAGTGAGAGAAAGCGATAAGAGTGAAGAGCAACGAGGACAAAGGACCAAGAATGAAATTAATACATTTGACCAGATAGGAGAGTCAAAGACTATGGTCTATCGAAGGGGCGTAGTGGGCTGCTGTCTAGTTTAAGGTCTAAATAGTTTTACTAATATGTCGATAGTAAAATAAAACCCACAGCCACGTGTGTGTGTGTGAGTGTGCTTAGATGCCAGATATTGTCCTTGTAATTGAGCCAAAGTTTTATAGGCACAGGAAGAATACAGTATATAAAACCATGAATTTAAAAAAATGTAGTTAAATAATACTTATTTTGTTCATCCACATTGTTATAAAATTTATAAAGAACTTTAGTAAAGAACTTGATTAAAAAGTCGTCTTTTGCCTGATTATTTTGATTCATAAATTTGAATAGTATTTTCCTTTGCAATTTTATGGTTTTGGGCTGAAGAGATCTAATTTTGAAGTAAAATAAATTAGTTATTTCCAGATATTTATTTTGTCTTATAGTTCCTTTTTATGTGTAAGCACATTAAGGCTTTGGCATTTTGTAAAAAGTATTTTTCCTTTCTTAACTATTTTTAATCGCAGTGCAGACTGGGTAACAATGTCAATTGCAAAGTGCAGGCCACAAAAACTTGCACACTCGGACCCATGCATGCCAACGTCCTGTAGGATGTGAATGCAGCAGCTCCAAGGTCTGTCGGCCATAACTCCAAATTGGCCATTCGATCTGGTTACTTAAAGGGTAATTAAATTAACTGCCGCACAGCAGCTCAGCAGCAAGCGGAAGTAGCTCTGCCAGCATGTCGTCCTTGCTGACATCCTGGCAGTGGAAACAGCAGCCGCAGGAGCATCGGTAGACAAGCCAAAGGACGAGCACGCGGCTGGGTAAAATCGAAGATATTTTTTTCCCTACACCCAGAGAAATATGCATATTTCATTATGACGGCTTTTTAGGGGTGGCTAGGAAAGTAAAGGGGTTCCGGTTCGGGTTTCTGGTTTCGATTCCTCGCCAAGGGGTGTTTGCTTTATCGCGTGCCAAATCATCGTTATGATTGGGATGTGCCTCCTTTTCAGTTGTTGCGATTGATGATCAAATCGTGATTAAAATATATTTACTTCCCATTTTTTACCAGGAGGGCTAATGACTGGGTTGATTAATTATGAATCAATTACATTGTAAAAAGATATCTCATAGATCTGCGCACCGCTTATTGTGTGATGTGAAGGTGCCAGAGCGACGCAAATCAAATTTGTCATGGTTTTAGAATGGGTATGACATGCTGGGAGGTGGGAGGATACGATTTATGGTGGGCAATAAGGTTCTCCCATCTCCCATCCCATGGTTCTCCCATCAAATCCATCAATATGAATATGCATGAATTAATGATATGGGGAACAGCAAAAAATTTCAAAAACCAATTAAAAAAAAAAAAACACAAAATAAGCATCAGCGAAAATTAAAATTAAAACTTAAAACATCAACATGGTAAAAATCTGTCAACTAAATCGCACGATTGATAATTGCACCCGGTGTCTTGTCTTTTCCTTTATCATTTAGCAAAACAAAGTGAAATCTAATTAAAAGAGAACCAACTTTAAAATTCAGCAAATGGAGTTTTTCTTTAGAAAGCAGAATTGCAATAGAGAACAATTTTTTACCAGAAGTTTCCTAGTTTCAAGCAAAGTTTCAAAAGAAGAGAAACCCTTGTCTAGAAATAAAAGTTCCTCTTTGTCAACTTTAATTCGATTACACGACTCCACGAAAACTTTATTTAAATTAAAAACAAAATATTTAAAACTCCCCCCACCTGAACAATTACAAGTAAACAACAATTTAATTATGCATCCGACAAAAAAGCGGCACGTAAAAGAAAAAAAAAAGCTGCAATCGAATTAGGAAGACGGAAAATGCCAAATATTTCGTGGCCAAAATGGAAAAGAAACAGGAAACGGAATAGGGACAGAAGAAGAAGAAGTGCAAGATGGCGGACTATTCAAGTGCGGCGAATTGAGTTTCCCATTCGAGCAGGTTTATTTATTTTCAAGGCAAAATGGCGCAAGGTGCAGGCAAATAAAAGGGGGTGGGCAAGTCGGGGGTTGTTTCCCCAAAAATTATAGTCAAGAGAAAATTTGATTTTGCAAACGCTGTAATTGAATTGAGCGCCGAACAGCGCGCTACGAAAAATGGCCGATGGAATAAAGGCGAATAACCAAAAGAATAAGGATAAAAGGCAGCAGCAGCCACCACAAAAGGCTGCAAAGGAGACACACTAACGTAAAAAACACAACAATGGCTGGCTAATAAAATAAACGAAAAGCTTTTGTAAGCAAATTGAAAATATAAACAAACGAAAATTGATAAAGGACATAAAAAACGGCTGCCAACAAAATGGAATAATAAAAAATAAAAAGCAAACAGCTAGGAAAAGGCAGAAAATTGGTCAGAGCCCAGAGCACACACAAAAGGATAAACAAAAGCCACAGCACATGCAAGGAAAGCCAACACAAAAAATGGTTAGGAAAAACCGAAACAAAAACAAACGCAAATGTAACAAACAAAAGCCAATTCACAATTGGTAAATGCATAACAAGAAAGTTTTTCTATGTAAAAGTGTAAGGATAATACAAACATACACAAAACTAACTGATACATACTAGCACACATAAAAAAAATTGAATGCTCAGCGAAAAAATTATATAGGAAATTATTATCTAGGTATGTATGTTCAGGTATGTAAATTATGACCAGATTAAGATTTTTTATTGTTTATTTTTCCGTAAATAATTAAAAAAAAGAAAATATATAAGAATTTTTATTAATTTTTAAGATTATTGTATTAAAATAATCTACAGAACAAAATTAATAAAAATTCTTTTTTTACTGTGCATGAAAAATGTAAAAAAATGCGTCTATATTTGGGAGCTATAGAAACGTCAACAATAACAACCATTCGATTAAAACTTTGCCCACAAAATGAGCGCAAATTAAAGATAAACAGTGTGGCGAAAAGGGGGAAGAAGAAGAACGGAATCAGAATTGCCGAACTGGATGCAACATTAAAGTTTCTAATTTTGAAATTAAAGCACGTCAAAAGGCAACGAAGGGCGGCTATAAAAAATGTTTTAGTGCATTGAACGAACATCAATAACCGGATCAATAACGAGCAGTAAGTGTACAAAAGAATCATAAACCACACCAATATTACATGGATAAACATGAGGTAACTTAAAATATTTTTTAAATATAAATTTAAAAGAGTTTGCCTTTAATTATACAAGTCTATTAATTTCCATTTTTATAACATGAAAATATCGAGCTAACAATTAACAATTTAAATCATTTTTCTAACTGCCAAGGTCTAAAGACCATTGGATTGGACTTGTAAATATATACATTTTTATCAAATGTCTAAAACTTGATATACAACATTTTTTTATGTAAGAGATGTCTCACAGATAAAGTAAAGAAGTATTCTTTCTGTACGCTTTAAAATTCAACAATATTAAAAAATAAATAATATAATAAAATCAAATTATACTATAACTGTTTTCTGAGAAGTAACGTCTCATCTTTTGTGATATCACTCTAATAAACAAAACCCCAAAATCATGCGAAAGCGTCCCATATGCTGTGCATCAGTGTGACCAACTAAATAAAAACTAAAATTAAAAATAACATTTTTTAAGCGCGGTGACGCGAGCAGCGCAGCCGACAGCGACGTCGGCGCTGGCAGCGCAGCCGCATTCGCTATCCCGCTCTCGGGCAGACACGCCCTCTGTGGTGTGCAAAAGGGATAGCAGCCGCGCAGACTACTATAGACATCCCGCTCCCACTCACACCAAGTTTCGAAGTCGTTTTTCGAACTCGCGGGAGTTCCCCTTTTTTCATTCGAAGTTTTTATAGTTGGCCGCAATAAACCGGCGTAGTTGCACTTGTTGTTGTACTCACTTTATCATGTCCGGCAGGCGTTCCGGAACTTTTGGGTGGGTGTTCTTCTTCACGTAACTTGAGGACAGCGCCTCCGTGCAGGCCAGCATTAGCTCCGTGGACAACTCGACCGGATGTTGTGGTGATTTTTCTTCGGGTAACTGCAACAGTTCGAAAAGGAGTTAGAAAAACATATATTTTGTTTATACGCACGTTTTATTTTTATAAAAAATATGTATCGATGGGTAGATATTTCTAATTATAAAGTAATAAAGCAAATAAAGTAATAAGTAATTTTAATGGATAAAGCCCTTATTGTCAAAAAGAAAGCAAATAGTTTTGCCTTTGGTTAACGAATATTTATGTTTTAACTTTGTGGCAACTTTTTGATCAACTTTAAATGCTTTAAAAGCATACAAGCAAAACAGGATCGTAACAACAATTACTGTCAGTAGTTTCTTTTAATTTTTAAATAATTTAATATTGTAATATCTGTCGGATAAGCTTGGTATATAAACCCAGACGGATGCACAATTGTTGCATGCTTTTTGGGGCCATCACAGAAATTCTTTTCCCTGTGTTTAAATTAATTATCAATTTAAGCAGAAACAAAAGACAGACGGAGAGACTGAGAAATATACACGCACATCAATCAAAATGTTAATTGATATTTCTCCCTCGCTCACTTTCAGTTAACTTTTTCACTCTGTTGCGCCTTATTCGCTTCCCTCTTTCTCTCCATCTCCCCTTTCTTCTTCATTACATGACAAGCGGCGCGCGCGCTGATCCATCAACAAAAAAAGGAAGGTGAAAAAGAGTGGGGCAGGGGGCGGTGGGAGCGACAATAAACACGAGCCAAGTTAACAATGCCAACAACCAACAACAACTCCAAAGTGCGATGAGCAGTAAAAATATTTTTATAGATTTAAATAAAAAATACCTACAAAAAATGCAAGAGGATCTACCCGACTCTTTGGTACCCCTTCACTATTTCATATTTAAATAATTATTACCAAGTCTAAAATGTTTAACTCCCTATCAAAAAATATGAAAATACATTTTAAGTTTTTAAAATAATTATAATTATAATTCAGTATAATCGAAGTTTTGAAAACTTTTTAAACTTAATAGTCGATAGATTTTTTTAAAATTTTTTTACAACAATGACGGATTTTTAAGTCGACTGATTGCCTGCATTATAAAACCTTTACCTCCATCAGTAAAGGGTATTATTTAAGAAAAACATATTTATACATCAAAAATAAAAAGGATGAAAAGTAAGGAAAAAAACATTTATTGGGTGGGAGAGTGGCTTTTTATGCGATTTAACGATTGATTTAACAGCAGCCGCAAAAGTATAAACATTTTACACGCTGACAAATTGGCCAGGAAAGGGAAAAGCAGTGGAGCCGCGGGGGGTCCATGGAAGGGCGGTCAGGGTACCGACCTAGTGCTTAAAAATTGATAGGCCAAGCGACAGACGAGCGAGCGCACGAGGCCAGTAAATAAAATTCAAATAAAAATGCCAAACAAACAAAAGGCAGCGCCAAATAAAAGCGTCAAAGAAATGGCAAATAAACAACGCCAGCCAAACGAGCAAAAACAAAAGCTGAATCGAAACATAAACTTTAAACAGGGCCAAATAAGCAACGAGGACTGATCGACCTGCAAATGCTCTTCCTAAGTAATTAGTTTAAAAAAATCCAATTATTGAAAGCTAGATTCTATTGTACACAGATGAAAACAATGAAAACTTAATTTTTAAAAAATAATTACTATGCTTCCTTTTTATAATTTTTACAAGTTCTAAAATATAAAAACACTTAGTAGAAAAAGCCTACCGTTTAATGTACGTTATTTGTTCTTAGACCTATGAAAATTTCTTAAGACCCCAACAAATCTAGGATTTTTTTTCTCGCGGGTTAAAGACGAACAGAGACATAAACGCGGCCAAGTGTTAAGTGGCTGCCAGGCAGGACCAGACCGCCAGCCAAGTACGAATTTATACTATACACATAGGCGACATCCGACGTGGCCTGGGGAATTGTGAGTTGCCAACTTTTGCGACTGCTCAAACCCTCTCCCCCAATCTCACGGACATCCCCTGAAGGCGAGGACGACTGCCTGGCGACACTTTTCTTTTGTGAGGCGTTTGCTTTTGAGGATTACCTGGAAACTCTTGTTGATGGCATCGAACAGAACGGTTATGGAATTGCCCAGAAGAGCATGACGAGCAATCTGAGGGCACACCGAGCAGGCATTCCTATACAGCTGCACGGCCAAATGAACGGATCTGAAATTATTAAACACATAAGTACTTAAATTTTTTAAATTTATAAATTTATGCCAACCCACTTTCTTGAGATCTCAGAGTTTTCCTCCAAGCCCTTGCTGATCACATGATTGGCCAAGATCCCCAAAGCATCCATGTAGAGAAAAGCTTGGAAATCGAAGTTCTGAGCCTTTGGTATCACACGCAAAAGGTTTCCTAGGTTCCTATCCAGTCCCTGGGCTCCTCCTCCCTTGACCACCAGATTTAATAGCTTTGGCACTGAACTATCCCTTTTCACATAGGCGGGTAAAGGTTCCAAACTCTCCAAATACTCGGCAGCGCTGTAAGAATGAACAATTGTTAAAAAATGAATTGTTCATATCAATACAAATAAAGGTTTAAAGACAGGTTATACGTAACAAAGAAGATTTCCGAGATCAGATTTATAATTTCATGAAATTAAATCTCATTAATTTAAAACAGTCAGTCAATAAAACTTTAACGATTAAGCGGAATTTCAGAACACGTCAATATACCCAAATTAAAATTATACAATAATTAATTTAGTTTCATCATTAAAAGTTAACCAATCCCATTTTACTTACTTCTGACTCATCCTCTGTTTAAGCTTCTTCATCTTCTTTTTATAGCTCCTCGAATGTCCAGGGATTCCTCCCACGTCGGAAAGTGTAGAAGACAAATCACAATCCTCATTGGTGGTGCTTGTGGTATTTCCATTCAAGACGTCATCGGACTCATCCTGATCGCCCCGGTCGTCATCCGCCTGCCTTGTGGGCATGGTCAGTTCCAGAGCCCTCTGCCGGATATGCTCGATGTTCTCCTCATGGCGGCGAGCGGACTCCATCTGCTTTTGAAGAATCTTGCGTTGCAGTTCCTCTGTGGTTTGTTGCTGCTGGACTTGTAAGGCTAGAAGTCTCCCTTCACGATCCCTGGCTTTTTCCCTGGCCAGAGCCTGACGTTGTTTTTCCTTCTCCTCCTGCATCTTGCCAATCCTTTGTTCCTTTTCCAACCGCGTCTCATTCATCTTTTCGAGCTTTAGCAGACGTTCTTTTTCCAGAGCTTGGCGACGTCTTTCCACAGCCGCTTCTTTGGCCAGCTTTTCTTCCACCCTCTTTTGTCGCTCCTGCTCCAAATCTTGCAGTCTTCCCTCTGTTTCCTTGGAGGATTCCAGAAGATCCAATCGTTTGTTCTGAGCTTCAATGTTTTTGATAAAGTTAATTTCCTTAAGTTTTTTCTCCTCATCGTGAGCTTTCTCAATGATTTGCTTGAGATATTGCTCACGATTTTCAGCTGCCCTTTGCAGTCTTCCTTGCATTTTTTGGCGTTTGTCTTCGATAATTTGATTTTTTGCTGCCTTGACATCTTCCACTCTTGAAAATAGTTGCTGCAGCTTAGCTGCCTTCTCTTGCTGAAGCAGATTTCTTTTCAGCTGAGCCTTTGCTTGTTTTGCCTGATATTTCTTCAGAGTTTCCTGTAGAGAACGACGCCTGGAAGGCGAAGATAGCTTCTGATGCAGTTCCTGAGCTCTTCCCGGATGTCTTGCCACATATGCCTGCAAAGTGGCCAAAGCCTCTGCTCTCTCATTCCAGGACATATCAGATAGCAAAGCCTGATATCTTAACTCCAAGCTGGCATTCTCATCGTCACTCATGGTCACAAAAACAGCCGAGTCGTCGCCGCTACCCAACTCCAATCCATCGTCCTGCTCCTCCAGCTGAACTTCACAGTCCGTTTCATCCGTTTCCGTATCCACATCGATCTCCGTTTGCTCAAGTTCTCTGATTTGTCGCTCCAGGGACTCCTGAACCTCAACTAATATCTTTTCATTGCGCTCTTCCTCGTTGTCATCCGTATTTTGCTCCTCGTTTTCATCACAGGCACTTAGGATGCAAGCATTGTGTTTCAGGCTTCCATTTGGAAGCTTGCAGCGGGCAATGCTCTCGTAAAGTTCTCCGATGGTTTTGGAGAACTCGCAGTTGGTCTGGATCTTGATATCTATCTTGCTGTGGTCCTCGTTGTTGGCTAAAAATAAATGAAATTAGATTAATTTAAATATTAGTGATATGTACAAGTAGGAACCCACATTCCACGACAGTTTCCGCGGATGAGGAACTGCTGTTGCCTTGTTTGTTTCCCTGCTCTTTCTGCTGAAGTTTTCTCAGTGCATTTTTCTCACTTCTCATGTACTCCTTATGCAATGATGTCATCTTCAGGCCTGTAAGATCAGATTTCTGTCTTTTAATAATAGACGTGCGTCCAATAGAACTATTGTTGCTGCTGGGTGTGGGAGCCACCTGCTTCTCCGACTTTTCAGTATTCTCTGATTTCTCTTGCTTCTCTGGTTTCTTCACTTGGCTGGTGGTGTTTCTCTGAACTGGAAATGAATTCACCTTGGCCTTGGCATTCTTGATTTCCGGTCGGGATATTGTTAAAGTTGCCTTGGCTTTAGCCTTAGTCTCTGCTGGCGGGGCTCCATTTTGCCCTGAATTCGATTTGCCGAAAGTTTTTTCTTCACTTGCAAATGATCCTCGTCCTTTCTGTTTGTCTTTGTGCTCCTGCTCTTTCTGTTGTTCATTTAGCAACGCCAACGTGGGCAAACTGGCATACCCCGTGGGCTGATTAAATCTATTCGCCCAGTGCATACTGCTCCTCCTGCGATTTTTCACAGTCAACCAACCGTCGTTAGCATCTGTCGGCAGTTGGATCTGCTTAGGCTCGGAATGCCGTTCCTCCTTTAAAGTGCTTCTTGAATTTGAGAGCTGTTCATTGCTAGCTTTAAGAGTAGATGTGGAACTCGCTATATCCTCCCTGGAACTGAGTCTCGAACTCATAGTTGTTCTTCTGGCAGTGCTTAGAATGGAACTAGGAGCCGTTTTCTTCGATAAAGTTCTAGCACCAGTGGAAGGATTTGTATTAACGGTACTCCCATTTATTTCCAGCATGGTTCTGGATCGTGCTGACAGTCTGGAGGCCACATTGTTGGGAGGGCCATAGCACTCGGTTTTGCTGGAGGGTCTGGGGGGCTGCAATCCACTTTTACCACCTATTTTTGGTGGAGGAGGAGCTGTTTTAAGCCGACGTAAACCATTGACTTGTGGCGCGGGATTTGTCTTTATTTGACTTGGTTTAGTTGCTATTGTCTTATGGGCTATTATTCCCCCAGTCGGCGGTACAGCCTTCTTCACGGGGCGATTTAGCACACTGGAATATTTGAGGGGACTGTTTTGGACAGTATTGCCTGCTATGGGATTCAAGGGTTGTGGTTTCTTGAAAAGCTCTGCCACGGGCTTAACGAGAGTGCTAGGTGGCGTGGGCTCTTTGTTGGCCTGCTGGTTAAGTAACGCATTCTCCATGGACTCTAGGGAAGCCACAGTCATCTCCAGAGCAGTGGGTTCTAGTGCTGTTTCCATCAATGCAGTCTCCTTGTTCAAATCCGCTTCATTTATGATTGGTTGTTTCAGAGAAGGCACCTCTAGTTTGTTTGAGATTTCCTCTTTGTTATCTTTATCTACTGGAATGATTACTTCTTCTGAAGCCGAGTTCTCTATCTTCTCCTGAGCTTCTCGTTCCTCCGCCTCCCTGCGCATTTTCTCCCGGACATCCGCTAAAGTTAAGTGTGGATCTTCCAGATCCGTTTGCGAATACTGGGTGTTTAGCTGCACATAATTTGATTTGTCGCCACTCAAATCCAGAGGACCCTCCATGTTGTCAGATTGGGATGATCCTTGAGTAGCTCGCTTGCTTGCCGCAAAGAGTTCCCTGACATTAAGACGCATTGCTCCCTTTGGCACTTGGTCGTAAGCACGCAGAAGTTTTTTGGGCGATATCTGTCCATGATCACAGCACGGTGAGGTTTTTCCGGATTGAGAGCCGGGAAACAAGGCTGGACTCGATTTGCCCGAGTTGTTGGGGCTGCACAGACTTTTGGTTCGAACTCTGGGAGTGGGATTGCTCTTACGCACTTCCCAAGCTAGGCTTTGGGGTCGTTGTTGAAGCGGTCGAGATTCATAGTCCCAGGATACTTTGAACCACTCGCTTAGCGCCTTAAAGTCCCGCACATAGTTCTCCAGCACTAGGATCGCCTCTTGGCAGCTGGAGATGTTTTCATAGCATTCTACAGTTTGGTAGATTTCATTGACAGCTCTCTGCAGATTCCCAAAAAGCAAGGCCCAGTATCTGGCTTGCAGCTCCGACTTTTTATCTCTCCCTGTTGAGGCGCTACGCACGCGTGGGCCATTGCTTCCACCTCCTGCATTTTCGGAGGGTTTTAGTCGCGGTGAAGTGGGCGACTGGCAGTTTTTTGGCGTACCGCTAGGCGACTTCATTGGCACCATCGGCGGCTTGCGATAGCCTGTAACGGATAAATTTAAGTAAAAGGAAAAAACTAAAATGGAAAAAGTCGACTTTCCTATACCCGGCACTCAATTTCTACTAATCATTGTTAACTTTCTGTATCTTTGTTGAGTATTCGTATAGAAACTGATCAAAATAAATTTTTTTTTGGAAATTCCTAAATGATTGTTTCATCTTTTGTAGATTCCCACAAGAGGATATTAAAAGGGGATAGCGATATGTCTTCATAAGAAACTTGCCATATAGGGCACATATTAAATTAACATGATTATTAAACCATATAGGATTATCTTATGCTTCCTCTATACATTACTAGCAATACAAAATAACCAACAAACTCCTCAAGTATCGAGTATCGGAAGGTAACAATTTGTGTGTCTTACAGTCGCCATTTAAGAGTACGCCTCCGCTTCCAGCTGCTCCTCCATCGCTACCAGCAACTCCTCCTCCTCCGCCTATGGATCCACTAGCACCACTCGAAGTTGTCTCATCGCAGAACTGGTAGACGAGCAGATTCTTCGCTTCTCTTCCCTCGCGACTTAAGACCTCTCGCATTTCCATTGTTGGGAGATAGACCGAAAAGCTGCTGCCTGTTGTTGTTGTTGCCTGGGTTTCGTCTGCTGCTGCTGCGCTGCCTCTGCCTGCGTCTCTGCCCACGCAGCTGCTGCAGCTGTTCACGCAACTTTTGGTTTCGTCCTTTGTGGCAGCCCGAATCCTGATTAGTTCCTCGACTTTTGCAATCCGCCGCTGGAAACGCTCACTTCCTCTCCGAATTTAATTGATTATTTCGTCTTTTTCGACGTCTTCTACTTAAAGCGACGCTTCTTTGTTGTTTTTGTCGCTGGATTTCGCAACGCCAGCGGACTGGGTAGCATTTTCGCACGATGGCACCTGGTTATATCCACATCGACTTTGTCGATCGACGCCTACCGTGTGTCCTCCCCACTGTTCCACAACGTAGTTCCTTGTCGTGGCCCTGTTAAATGGAAAAATTCCTTTGAATATGCGTCCAAAAATTCTGATTTCTGCCAATTTCAGCCGAGCAGAGCCAGCTGATTTGGACGCAGGGCTGCTTGGGTTACCAGTGCAATCGATCAATCGATGGGAGGCACAACAATCGATGATAAGAGCGCGTAGTCAATCGATATGAAACGTAAATTCAAACTCGGCATAATTGCACTTTTTATAAATTGTGCTTCGTAAAGATATTTATAAGAGTACTCCTACGTAAACAATTACATTGCTGAATATTATATTAAAAAACTGAAATTTAGATTAGTTAGATCTATAGAGAATTACAACATTAAGTTTTTGATATATTTTATTTCTAAATCCTATTTTCTGGGTCAATGTAAGTATTAGGAAATTTGGCTAGGGCTTAAAGAATTAAATTAAAATTAAACTTGAAAATACGCTTTTAATGGGGAATATTTATTTCTTCAGCTTATTTTGATTTTACAATATATGTACGCAAAGAGCTCCACCGATGGACAATAAAAGCTTACATTTAAAGGTGGCGCTCCACCTCCAAGCTCCAACCGAAAGCTCCCCAATGCGAAAAGGAGACAACGAGAGGTCCGGTAGAGCAGCATAGCTAGAGGGCGAGAATAATCGCCGGCGACTTGAAAAACCAGTCTACTGGATCTGCGGGCCTGTTACAATTCCGGTCTAAATCTAAATGATGCTGCTCACTGCTCTAGTTGTTCGAATTGGAAGTGCCAGCGGAGCGAAAAACCGCGGAAAAGACGAAAGTAAAAGAACCCGGAGTCGGTACTAGCTCCAGTCACACCTTTTTCCCTTTAACCACTCAACTTTTGAGTACTGAGTATATTACTTTGACACCAGATATTAAAATCAAGTTATTTCCCAGCTAAGGAGTGTCTTCTCCATACGCATATTACTTCCATTTTTTGACGCCTGCAACTTAACCAACACTAATTTTCGAATTAAGGCAACGGATGGGAAAACGAAATCGAAAAAAGACAATATCGTCACTTGAGCCACACAATTTCGATTCATGGACTCTAATGAACAGGCGCCCAGGTAAAATAACCAGTTGTCCATGAGATTTATAGTCACTCGACCTCCGATTTCGTTCCGTTTCAACTGAGTGTGAATTTCTCAGGCCCATGTGCGGTATATGTTTGTTGGTTTGTTTGATTGTTTACTTGTTTGTTTACCTCTCGCCATGGAGTCTCTTTTGAGAGGGTGTGTATGTGCGTTAGTAGGTGTGTGGGGCAACCACCGACTGAGTGGTGATTTTGGGGGAAATCATATTTTGAATTGAGTGGTGGATAGAGTTATACTCGGGATGTGCGCAGCACATATTTATAAGCTCATTCCTTGGGGTTTCTTTATTTATTTAGCTTGGTGTCTCATTTTACTCAGTTAATGTTACAAATTTAAGAACTCTTTTATTAGATTAGAAGATCAAAAACTTTATGAAAATTATTATTATTATTATTATGAATAAGTAATTGGGTATGTTCATTGTCTTAAACATATTAAAAATTTGTATTTAGGACGGACACAAAAATTGGCGATGGGAGAAAATGATTAATAATTAAATGTAATATCTTATTTCCTGGACAATATCATGTACCTTCTCCAAATTATTTATTCAGTTTAAATAAATACTAATTTATTCTTTGGAACTTTAATTTAAAAGTGCATTAAAATAATTGTATATTTTCTGATTAACCTGTAAGGAATACTTTTTTTAAAAGTTTTGACAAAGTGTTAAATTATTTTTACCAACTTGATTGGTTAGCCTTAAATGCCACCAATTGCCATTGATTTTTCAATAGGCAGAATTACCATTATTCTTATTTTTCTTTTGTAATTTGGTTCTTATATTTCTGAGCAACCCGACATCCTACATACGTCATGTTGGCATGCCTGGAAGCTTGAAAAAATCCTTGAACATATTGACGAACCAGGAGTGCAGTAGCCGGAGCTGCATGACTGACGAAGTGTGGCACACATAACTGGAATAACTGCTGCCAAGTCAATGCCACATTATCGGGAACTGAAGTTTCTTTGGGGGTGGCGGCGGGAGTGGAGTGGAGTGGATGAGGCGAAGTGGAAACACGACATTCGTGGAGCCGACCATTAGAGGAAGCCTTGTCCAAGACTGAACGTTAGGGGCAGATGAAGGGGCAGGCGAAACCGGGGAATCAGGCAGAGGATGTGGCTCCAGTTGTCTGGCAATTGCTTAGACATTCCTGGAGCTCCTCAAGGCCGCTTTTGGAAGTGCACAGTGGCCACAAATCGATCTATTTATAACTTTAAATCATATTTAATTAATAATGTTGCATATATTTTAAACTATATTCTCAGTAGGTCTTTCCCCATTGTCTTTCAATCAGTTGACAAATTTCTAAGCATTTTATATGTTTTAGAGGAACGTTTTTTTAAATCCTGTTCTTCCGTTTGCTGTTGTGGTCCTTGAATTCCCAACTATGGCAGTTGTACCAGTTTGCAATATTCACACGATACGACCAAATCCACTACAGGGTCTGGAATTTTTATACGTACCTCTGCACTATAGTCTACATGTGACTACCACTCTAATTTCTGCCATTGGGACCTTCTTGTACCGCCTGTGGTCGCCGCCCTTGAGGAGAAGTTGGTAAGGTAAGTGTATAAAATAAATAAGTCCTATAGGACATCAGGGACTTATCACTTATTATCTAATTAGGTATAGGGTACTTCGTACTTATTTCTCCACACCATCCACAGTGCCTCAGATGCAGAAGAAGCCTTAGCAAGGAGAGGTTAAAGAAGCCAGACTTGGACACCAAAGGAATTCGAAGCCGGGGACGGACACGACATAAAGCGAGGCAGATGAAGAAGATGTTAGCCCGAGCGGATGCATAAGTAAAGTACGAGGAGGGACAAGAAGGGACCATGACCAGGACCAGTCTGGACTTAGGGCGCTGGCTTGGATCGGGAGCAGGAGGAGGAGGTGGAGCAGGAAAAAGAGGAAGAGGTCGATGGGAATACGAGAAGAGGCAGCATCAACAGCCACAGCAGCATAAACAAAACGACCAGCAGACCTGAAGGAACGGAAGAACCAAGCACTGAACGAAATTCAGCCAGTGTTTTCTTTTATATTTAAATTTAAACAATAAGTGTATTTTTAATTGATTTCGTTTTAATTGGTTAAAATCCATAAATAAACCCAATATAAAAAATATGTTAAGGAGTAAAATACAGATACAATGTACCAATATCTTGTATGCGGATTGCAAACACTTTAACTGAAGCATTGAAAGGTTCGAAGATTAGAAGTATTTGCGGAATATTTATAAAAGGCAATGTATCTTTTTTTGTAATAATTAATAATTAGAAAAAAAAGGAACTAAAAACAATGAATAAAAAGAAAGGTGTACCTTAAAGCGATCCAAATTTGTATACAAATTTTAAGGTCGTTATCCCAGAAAGAAACTAAAAACCAGAATTTAGATTTTGAAATGGTATCTTTAGACCACGCTAGTGAACCTTTATATTTGAAATCTTATTTCAACTTCACCTCTTTTAGGAACCATCATTATGTCCTTTAGGGGTCAGATCGCCAAGGTTACTGAAATAAATTATTGTTTTTTACACATTTAAAAAGGTTAAAAAAAAGTTTTTAAGCGATTTAAGCCATTTTATGAAAGAGATAGTCCTGTTTCCAAAATCGGCCTGTTTTCGGTAAAGGACTATCTTTTTTTCAGTGCTTCAGACCCTGGGAGCAGACTCAATGCAACAATAAAGAAAAAACGGAAAAAAAAGGCAGTGTGTGTGTGAGCGATTCTCCGGCTGTCTCTTGTTGAAATTCTCCCCATCCTCTTCCTCTTCTTCATGGGAAAATTCAGGCCGTGGGAATACATGTGAAATTTCGATGGTGTCCGGGAACAGGCGAGCAGCAGCGATGGAAAGATACATGAGAAGCAGTTAGAGCAGCAATCCACCCCCTTCCCATCCACTTCCACTTCCCATTCCCATGCCGATTCCCATGTACTGTATATTATATTCCCCATGTCATTCCAAGCGAAAAAGAATTCTAAGCTAGAGCGAGAGGGCTAGAGTGTGTGTTGGGTTGCATATCTGTTGCGAAGGGCCCAAGAAGGATTGGGGCGAGTGCGAGGGAGACGACTGGTACTGATGGCCCTTTTATGTTGCTCCCCTGGATGTTTGTGCAACATTTTGTGGCCTCTGCCCTAGAGCACAGATTTTAACGGAACAACTTCAAGCAGGCGCGCAGTATTCAAAACCCAGCGATCTCATACTGCAGCATGTTGCATGTTACCACCACGTTGCTCCCTCTAAAAACGATTATCTCGGCCGGCAAAACTCCGATTTTTCAGCTAACAAAGGGCCAAGGTTATTTCCCGAGGCCATCATTAGGGTAGAAGGTTTCGTTTCGATTAGAAATTGCAGCAGGCACGCAGCAAGTTGCAGCAGGTAAATGGAACGTCCAACATTCAGTCGGTTCCCCTCCACCATTCCCCATTCTCCCAATTTACCATTATGCCCATTCCCCAATGCCCATTCCTTGAGCCCATCGTTACTCGAAATGAGGTGGTTGATACACTTTAATTTTACCATTCCTAAATTCCCAACTTTAATTCAGTATGCCCTTTACCTATCTGTTTTAAATTTCTAGAGAGATTCACTTACTTAAAATTGTTTTATTTAACACAGCATACTTTAAACCAACATTTTAAAATATTTTTAATCCACCGTCATAACTGTAATGGATCAAGATTACTACTGTTTTTTTAACCAGTTAAATAAAATATTTTACTTTTTATTGATTTAAATGACATTAAATCACATTTATTGTAAATTGAAAAATGAACGTGTTACCAAAAGGCGTAAGACCATTTGCAAAGGAAGTGTATGGCAAGAATTATGTTGCCCTTTTTGCTGAGCCAGAAGAACGGCGGCAACAAGAACTTCTTTATTTTTAGCCACCAGCCATGAAGACAAGGCAAAAGGGGGGAGTTGGGTAGAACAAGAGTGGAAATGGCAGAAACCAAAAAAAGGGGACGGTCAAAAAGGCGGACCAGAACGAGTCTTTGGTACCTCGAAAAGGATTGCAGAAACCACGATAGGGATTTTAAAATATGTATATAAAGTTTATATTATAAACACTTTGGTTCTTATTTTGGAACAAAATTTGTTTTAAAATTGCTTCCCCTTGTATACAAGCATTGATAAAACATTAACGTTTACGATACTTAATTTTAAGCCATTTGAGTTTAATAAAGGACATTTTTTGATTGTTCCCTATTATTCTGAAATTGTTGATTTGATTTTTTAAAATTCATATATTTTTGAGCATTCTTTACATTTTCTAGAGCATGCAGTTGTTAATCAACATTTTAAATTCAAATAGCGCGCACATCTGCACATGTGCTGCTTAACAATCGATAACATAAATGACTATCGCACTGTATCGCAGACAGGTGAATGCCAAACCCCCTTCTTTCTTTTGTTTGGCCCCCAGCTGGTTATTATTTCCTCGCTCGTTTATTTTATTTTTGGTTTTTGTTTAGTTCCCAATTTGTTAATGAAATGGATCAGTTGTACCTGGAGATCGAAATAAGTACTCAAAAGGAGACCACCATCTACACAAGTGTATCATCGTTTTTGGCCTTGTTTACTTATCAATTCCTAGACGATCCAAAAAATGTGCGGGTGAACTTCGTTTCTACCAAGGTTTGATTTATACAATAAATAGAAGAATGCTTATTAACCCATACCAATTTACCACCAAGATTGAGGGCGGTAAAATAGCTTTAAGGAGCTCCCAGCTGCGAAAGGAGCTCACGGATCAGCACATAACGTGCAGGGAGGCCGCATCCCTGCCCGCTATTCGGGATTTGAAACTTCCCATCTACGAAAAGGATGGAAATACCTATATAGCAGGATCTTGTGCTGTTTGCAGGTTAGTTAATATGTTACAAATTGTTTAATCCAAAAATTATGATTTTATTTACAGACAATTTTACTCACAGAAAGCTTTCAAGATTTGAATCTAATGTCCTGTTAACTTGATCAACTATTTGTTTATATATTTTATAGGTAGTTCCATTACCTGTCTTCTAATTATAAACATGTATAGTTTAATTAGTTTACAAGCAGTAATTTAAAAAAAAAATTTCAAATCGAGAATACATCATTAATCTTTGATTTCAGAGAGCTAATTGCCAGGCAACCGAATGAGGAACTAAAGAAACTGTTGGGCTTCAAGGGCAGCTGCCTCCTGGCTCCATCAGAAGCTTCGATTTGGACTAGGTTCTGTGAGGTGGATGTGGTTGACGTTGTGAGTAATATTCACAACGGTCAAATTCTTGACTCGGTGCCCCCAGAAGTAGTAAGATTCGAGCAACATATGAATGAACCGGTGAGAATGCACAACATCTACAAGCAGGCCAGAGAACAGGCCAATCAGACAGAGAATGGCGGCAAAGTCAAGAGAAAAGAGCGAGTACAGATTAAGTGTACTACGCCCAAGGAGGATCTGCTTATAGAGCACCGATTCGCCGAGGGAATTAGCTTCACCATTGCCGATCTCATCTTGTATCCCCTGTTAAGGATCGTCTTCCAACATTGCGGGCAGATGCTGCCCCATTTTCCACTCACCAGTACTTGGTTTAGTGAGGTTAGTAAATAAACCAATAAAGTACGTTTTCTACAAACGTTAAAATTTCCTATATTTACCTTTAAATACCCGACTACCTGCACCGTGATACCAAAAAAGTTACCCATTTCAGATTGATGCCTTCGATGGCAAGTGTGCGAGGATACTGAAGGAGCTATATGTGCCACAGGCAGTGAGGACCCCGCCCGGCGACCTTGGAATTCCCGACTGCGAGGCAACTAGTCTTTACAAGGCTGATCCCAAGCGATACAAACCGCGAAATCGCATCTACACTAGTCAGTTAGAGGTGGATGCGGCCCTGGGAAAACTGGCCTCGTTACAGCTGCAATTCAACTCGGACTCGGAGCACACTTACGGACAGCAGCTCATCGACTGGGAACAAATTGAGCCCACACATGCAGAGAGTTCAGCACTGCCAAAGGAGCGACTCGAACGCAAGCGACAGCAGCTGGAGAACATGGCCAATGCGGTTGTGTCCTTGGCTCAACCTGGCGATCGCATAGTAGACTTCTGCAGCGGCACAGGCCACTTGGCCATCCTCCTGGCCCTCAAACTGCCAAAGTGCACCATTATTGTGATGGAAAACAAAGCTTTTTCCCTGCTCCAAGCTCAAAAGAGGACTGTCGAATTGGGCTTAAACAACTGTGTCTTCTACCAATGCAATATCGATTACTTTGTGGGAGGATTCGAAATCGGTGCCTCTCTGCACGCCTGTGGAACTGCAACGGATATTGTTTTACAGCAGTGTCGCAGAGCAAAGGCACACTTTGTTTGCTGTCCCTGCTGCTATGGATCCCTGCAACCTATGCCGCACATTTCGTATCCGCTGAGTAAAGCATTTCAAGGGGTATTGGAAACAAAGGACTACCTGTACATTGCCCATTCGGCGGATCAGGCGCACGAGATGGGCACCACCAACTGCAAGCCGGAGACCACGCTTCAGGGACTCCACTGCATGGCCGTGGTAGACACCGACCGCCAGCTGCAGGCGGAGGAGGCGGGCTACCAAGTGATCCTCACGCGCCTGAAGCCCGAGCAGTGCACGCCAAAGAATCACCTGCTAGTCGGACGTTTTGTTAAACAGAACTGAACATACAAACTGCCACTGATACAAAATAAATGCATTTTTATATACTTTACGAAACATGAATCATCATTGCCGTGCGTAATCTTTAAATCTGTCTGCATTTCGTTTTAAATTTTGAATATTATTTCAAAAGTGATTCATTGAAGCCTTTCGTTTTACTTTTGTTTAATTTAAATCGCTTATCCGAATCTGATTTGTTCACTTTTGCCTTACTTTTCTCTAAGCGAATATAGCTTTAATAGTTTTATGTATTATACTTTAATCCGATGCTTCTCAAGCTTAATATATTTGAATGCATTTTAAATGAGTGTTCTCCAATTTAAAACAGTCTGTTTAAATAAGTTCCGGCATTAGTTATAGACAATTTATCAGGATGGAATCACCTCCTCGCAGAGCCAGGACCAAATGGAGTACAGACCCACCTTGCACCTTGTAGTCGGCCGCGGTTTTGTCATCGTTCCTAAAGAGGATTACATTTGAAATTAGTTGAAATTCAAGGTTAAGTCCCTGAAAAACTCACATTTGCTTGCCGGAGAAAATAAGACGCTGTTGTTGCGGCGGAATGCCCTCCTTTTCCTCTACGCGCTCCTTGATACGATCCACCTTGTCCGTAGGCTCAATGTCGATTTCTATTTCCTTGCCGGTCAGGGTCTTTTGGAAATATAATACATATTAACATTAATATTATTTTGGGGCCATAAAATATACACTTTAATATTCCTCGCTTTTGTTGTTGTTTAAAGTGACGCTTGGCCCGGGCGCCGCAATTCGTCATCATGCTACTTGTTGCGAATATAACCTGACGCCACTCACCTTTACTTTGATCAACATTGTGTGTCTGTTAAAGTAGCCTGTTCGGTTAAATTACTAAATTATCTATAACTTTTTGCTAATTTTCACAGCTGGCTGTTTTTTTTTGGCTGTCACTCGTTCGGCGTTGATTCGATTTCAGGCAAACTAGAGCTGTCAATGCATCGATAACACTATCGATAATACCCAAAGGCCCTGTTAAATGAAGCCTCTATCGATGTTTAAACTGTCTCCTTCGTTGTGACTGGCAACTTGCAGCGATATCGATTGTTCGCTTTATTGCTGGCGCTAGAAATCGATATTTTTCGAATTAAATAACGTATTTATTCATCGATCATAAACATAAAAACCGTATCCAACTTTCAAGTTTAAATACTAAGCTAAAAACAAACTGCAAAAGAAAATAACAAGAGTTTGCAAAATATTTAACATTTAAAAGTTGTTAAAATATCAAGAACAAAATACCAACTCTTAACTAAAAAAAACTAGCAAACTAGGTAATCTTTTTCACATTTAATGTTTTAACTTTACAGATAGTTTTCAATTTGTTAAAGTTACTTTCAGACTGCTTCAATCATAAATTACCACATGAAAGTAACTTTAACAAGTTGGAAGTAAGTAATAAGCTAAGAAGAGCGATATTTTTTTAAACATGTCTTTATTTAATTAAGTTTTAAGTCTTAATAACTAATTACGCATATTTACAAGACAAATTCGAAATGAATTTTGTTCAGTTTGAAGTTACTGAGATACCCAGTTCTTTTTGCTAACACTTAGGAGAGCTTCTTCAGTTTGTTCCAGTTGCGAATGGCTTCTCCAATGTGGCGGATATCCCGCGCATAGGTTCGACAGCACCCGCCGATGACCTTGGCCCCCAGTTGCGCCCACTCTGGGACGTAATTGGCGAGGGGAACACAGTGCTCCCTTCCCTGCCAGCCGTTGACCACGTCGTAGACTTCACCACTGTTTGGGTACACGACCAGGGGAATCTGCTCATCCACTTCGCGCTCTCCATTCAAACTCTTGAACAGCGGAGTCACGAATTTGGGATGCACACAGTTAACACCGATGGCCAGACATTTATCCTGGGCATTTCGCTCCGCCAACAAGTCCCAAATGGCATTCGCCGCATCCGCAAAGGTCTCGCCATGCGCCAATGTGTTCTCGTCCTTGCACTGGAAGGCCACCCAGAACTTAACGTCCGGATAATCATCGCACAGCATCTCCACCAGAGCCTCCGCCTCCATTTGGCAGGGAATCGTCTCGATGGCCAGTGCATCCACGCCGGCCTCCAAGCAGGCTTCAATCCGCACGCGATGCCAATCCGTAATCTCCTTGGCGGGCACATAGTCGGCATAGCTGCCGGTGTATTCGGATCCATCGTGCAGATGGGCGCCATACGGTCCAATAGACGCGATGACCAATGGGTAACCTGGAAATAAAATATAATTTTAGTCTTACATTTTTCTCAATTACATAAAAAATTATTTGAAGAAAAAAAAAATGTAAATAATAATAATAATATTCATGCGATCTGTATTCATTTGCTGAAGAGTTAAAGTTAAAAAAATTCATTAATATTTTATTTGTATATAACATAATCGAACCAGAACTTGTTGATATCTAAATATATTATAAGAAGTATTACCACTATACAAAAAAAGGTATAGTAACTTTAAATAAATTAAAATAAACTAAGGCATTTGAACAACATGATGGAGAATATATTTTAAAAATGACTTCTTTGGGTTTTTGAAAAATAAGCAAAATAGAGTGCTAGCCATACACCAATAAAAGATCAAAAACGGAAATAAAGAAAAAATATTGTTTAAAATAGTAAAAAAAACAATAGCAAGTAAAATAAAAATATTATTCCTACATTAATTAAAATATTTTTGGCAAATGAACCACCAAAGTCTTAACAACCTTACTGCTACCATTATGCTACTAAAATATCAATTAATCCAGCACGTGCCAAAAGATAATGGATATGGTAGATCCAGCAGGATCTGCACTTACCTTCCGGAACCGCCAGCTGGGCCTGATAGCACTCGGTGAGATAGCGCTCCTTGGCAATGTGTGCCAAACGGACCGTGTTCCTTATCAGCTCGATGCTCTGCTCCTCGTCCAGCTCCAGATACTCCATGTAACCCTCGACACTGGACTGATAGGTGTTGGTCAGGATAATATCGGCTCCATCTGTTGTTGTCAGGGGGAAAATTCAGTTAGTCTGCTGCTAATTGCTCCTAGCAACCAGGTGCTCACTCTGCAGAAAATCCAGATGGGTGCTGATAATGGCCGCCGGATTGGTGGCATTGAACCGGGCACTCCACAGCGGATCCCCATCCACGGAGTTGCCCACATGGACGGTCATCTGGGTGCCGAAGCCGCCATCCTTCACCAGCACGCGCGTCAGTCCCATGATTACAATTACAAGGTTACTGAAAGGGGAGCGACCAAACCAAATTATTTATTAGTTACATTTTCCTACGTCAGCGGAATAGGAGATAATTAAAATGCACATATTTGTTATATGAGCGCCGACATCTGGCAGATTGCCCATTAAATGCGGATTGATCGGCAGCAGCAACAATGTTGCATCGAGTGCTGGCTTTGGCACAGTTGTTTACTGCGAGTAATTGGTTCATCCAAACTTATCGCCCACTTTCTAGTTCAACGAACTTGGCACAACGGAAACCAAGTGCACTGACAACTCAAGAAGTTCTTTCTAGAAAGTAGGACTAAATACGATAAGCCAAGTTCGAAATACTCTAGTTTATGTATTAGTCATATTTGGATACACATTTTTTATCAGATAAGCTTTTAATATATTTTTGCATTATAATTTTAAAGAAATAAAAAAAAAGTATTAAAATAGTACAAAATATACATTTTGAAAGTAAGAATATTAGTCAATTTGTATAAATTGCATTCGATTTTCAATATTTAAACATAAAAATGTAGGTTTTCTCTTGAAAGAACTGCACAGATAAAAAATTTCAAGTTAGAAGAAAATATTTTAAACTCAAGTTTATATTAATATTTTTAAATTGTTTACATCATTACATCTGAAATACACTTTTTATATATTTTTAAATTAAGAATATCAATCAATTTGAACAAAAGCAATATATTTTCAAAGACAACTGATATGATTTTGATTTAAATTATTTTTTCTCTGACACAACTAAATTTAACCATTTAAACTTAAGTTTATATAGTTTTCATATAGTTTTCATCTATTTAAGTAAAGTAATAACAACATATTTAAGGTATTGAAAATTACATAAATTGTAATTTTTATTTACATCGATTCTTTTATTGTTTTATGGGTTTTAAAATATTAAAGGATTCTGATCATAAAATTAGGACTCTTTCACGAATTTAAACACTCTTTGTTAGGGAATCTGGCACGTAGACAGCCAACAAACACACGACATTTTCCCGCACTCACCTTGGAAGCTTATTTATAGATCTTGTAAATCGCTAAACTCAATAACAATTTTATTAGACGTTGGCTGGTTATCAAGCTTTTTGTTTTTTTTTGTAGATCTCTCAGACTTTTAGATATGATCTGTCGCACTGGGTGCTCGTCGAACGTTTAAGTGTTTTACAACGCGTCGAGGGGCTTTTATACCTTCTGGCTAGCCACTCAGCTGTGCGGCTTATCAGGGCGAAATTAATAAATAAAATTTATAACAAAACAAAACGGCAAACACAAACACGAGAGTGCCCCCACCAAGTGTTACTTTGTGGGTGATAAGGCGGGTACACAGCTGCCAGACGCTGGCCAGCCAGATTGGATTGTCCGGGTTGTCAGCGCCTCCTCCACAAGGCTGATGAAATCGTCAGATCGTTGGATCGTCGGAGTGCGTGGTCCAGGTCTCCGAACGATGGTACTCGGCATACATATGCTGCTCGGCAGCTGGGCTACATCGGCGTCGATAACCCCTAGAAGCCCACTTGGACCACCACTCGCAGATGTACTTGGTTGTTGACTCTGTCTTCCTCAGAGGGTAACACCGAGTGCTTCCAATAGCAGAAGATTATAAATAAATTAAATAATTGAATAAACAAAAACAGTTAAGGATCACTTTAGGTAAGCAAACAAAAACACATTTGGCCGATTTCTCAATGCCATGTTAAGTCTTTTACGTTGGTTTAAATTTCTGTTTCGGAAAAAGTTTTCATTGTTATTTTACTGAAAACTCTTAACTAATGGCAATGTTCTAGTTAAAATGTTTAACCTTATCTTCTTTTTAAGGTTTGGCACTCCGAAATCGCATTGAAAAAGCGTATTGTGCTACCAAACTATTTGAGTTTATGTACATATGTAAGCTTTCTCAGCCAGATTGCAAACTAGAATCTTAACATGAAATTGAGAAATCGGTCAAGGAAATATTAGGAAAACTCAGCAGTTTTAAATTACGGTATGGTACAAAATATATTGTTTACCTGAATTAAAACGACATTCTACAGTTTTTAAGATAAGGGGTATACAAAGTAGGTTATGTATCTGAGGAAACCGATTAAATTACTGCTTTTGAAAATATATTAAGCTATGTTTTAAGAATATCTAAAAACAACTGACCAAACTTATGTTATTTTATCAAACAAATATGTTTTATAATTATTAAATTGTTCGACCGATTTTCAATTGTTGTTGTACTAGCAAAATCAATAAATAAATTGGGGACGAGAAAGTGACATTATTGAAAATGTTGTAATTTATTTCTTACTTACAAAAATACATAAATTCTTTCAAATATTTAAGACTTATTTATTAAACATTTAGAGCTTATGTGCAAAAGGTTATTATATATATCATTTTTAACAAGATTTATTGATTCAAATTCTATGTCGGCGATAAAATATAAAGATTAAGTACAAAATCAATTTTATTTCAAAAAGGAAAATGCACTTTGCTATGTAAAAGTTGAATCAGAGATTTTGCAGATTTGGATTTCGACTTAAATTGAGCTAGGTTTGCGAAAACGGTCGCTGGGTGACGGTCACCGCCAGACCCAGTTCCCAGTTCCCTGTCCCCTGCACCCAGCCCACTTGTTTACCTTTGGTCCGCCCGTTTAATCTGTTTTTGTCTCCCAGCCGTCCACGCTTTTTTCCACTCTCTGCTGATTAGGCAGCCCATCTGATCTGGGTACGTTTAGTACACAAATATTTGTATGTATTTAGCAAACTAAATAGGTCTAGGTCTAGTCCAACAAAACCGCTTTCGCATTAACGACAAGGCAGCTATCAGTGCTCGGAGTGCTCAACCGATTACGGCTTTATGTTGAGGCTATCGATGTACTTGCGGATCGCCAACACATCCGTCGGATAGACCCGGCAACAGCCGCCAATGATGCGCGCTCCCAGTTCGATCCACTCGGGCACAAATCTGACCACTTCCTCGCCGCTCCCGGTCCACTCTTCTTGATCCGCATCATAGATCTCTCCACGGTTGCTGTAGACCACCAGGGGTATACGATCCGATCCTGCGGCCTTGGTGAGTGATAACAGCAACTGGGTCACAAATAGTGGGTTCACACAATTGACCCCAATCCCAAAGAGCCTGCTCTCCGCCTTGCGGCTCTGCACCAACCGCCACACGGAGAGTGCCGCCTCCGCAAAGGATTCACCACTCGCCAGGTGCTTTTCATCCTGAAATTACAAAATATACTATTTTATTGGATCTTGTTTTACGGAGAATAGTAAGTATCCATTAAAAACTAACTCTAAATTTGTTACTAAATTTATATATTTGTTTCAATAAAATATATAAATTTAAAAACTAAATTTAATAACAATTGAAATTGTTATTCTTTTATTTTTATATTTCTTGTTTCCAAATAAAATATTTTATATCTCTGATTTTGTTTTGGAATACAATTACTAACCTTGCACTGAAAGGATACCCAAAATTTGGTATTTGCGCAGTTGTCCAGTACGAATTCGGTGACTGCCTCCGCTTCCAACTGGCAGGGCAATGTTTCCAGGGCCAGTCCATCGACTCCGGCTGCCAAACATATATTGATTCTGGTCCTGTGCCACGCCTTCAGCTGCTCCTTGGTCATCTTGTCTGCGTAGCTGCCGGAATACTCGGATCCGTCGTGGAGATATGCGCCATAGGGACCAATTGAGCCCAAAATCAGTGGCAGAGGCGAGTCCGGTCCTGATCCGGTTTCAGCTAGGTACTGTTCCTTGGCCTCCTTGGCCAGCTGGACACTCTTTTGGATCAGTTCTATACCGCGATCTTCGGTAACACCCAGGTACTTGACGAAACCCTCCACACTGGACTGATACGTGTTGGTTAAAATGATATCCGCTCCATTGCGCAGAAAGTCCAGATGAGTTTGAATTACAGCCTCCGGATTGGTGGCATCAAATCGAGATCCCCACAATGGATCTCCATCCACTTTTTCGGTGACATTCCTAGCCAATTGCGATGAGAATCCTCCGCACTTGACCAGAATTCCCTCGGTGCTCCGGTTGTGGTTCTCCTCCATGGCTTCTCTGGTCTACGTGATTCGCTCTACTGCAAAATTTTCCCAACGATACGACTTTGTTGTGTATCTGACAGATACGTGAGATTATGAGTTTTGTCGACTTGGAATTTTATTATTTTTGTCGGACTTTTTTGCTTGGGTTGGCAACTTTTTCCGCTTATCTTGTATGAGTTTTCACAATACAAAACTCACTTACACTTCCACACAGCTCAGCTGTTCCTTGTTTACACAAGCTAGCTGTCTACAGTGAACACTCGATGGAAATAATTTTTTTAGAAATATTTTAAAGATTTTGGAAGAAAATCTCAGCTTTATACAATACCTCTGGACCATGGAACTGCAGAATTTGCAATAAGGAATTCAAATATACATTTACAATTGAATTGAAACTAAACTTTATCACAAAATCCAATTGAAATACCAATGAAAAAAATTTTAAAACAAAGTTCTTCTAAACAAATAGTAAAACAATGAGAATGTTTAGGTAACAATTGATTTATGTTGAGTTCATACTGTATGTGTGTAAAAATTCAATGACATTATTGTCACAAAATTACTAAAATAGCAACAACCGGTTGGCGAGGAGAAATGGAGGAATGTATAAGGTACTTAACCGCAAAAGTATATGTATTTTTGAATAAGCAACAGATGTCTTCTCGTTATCTTTCGACAAGAAACAATCCTACAGCTGACACACTGCCCGCTAACAGTCGTGGCTATAAAACTGTACATTAATAATTTAAAAAATATATATAGATTTTTCAAAAAATGTTTAAAAAAAATGTAATTAACTTTAATATCTAAACCTTCTTGTTGTATCCCAAGAATACCAATGAAAACACTGGATTAAAATATAAATACAATAGGCATATTTTATATAATCAAGATAATACATATGCAAAACAAATGGTGTACTAACATAGACTTGTATGTTAATCGATACAAATAGAATAATTAATCCTTAAATACCTTGGTGTTAGTGAATGCAATTGGTTTAAGTAATAAATTGTTTCGGGGTTAATATTGGGTATATAATCACATATTTTTGTATAAATAAATAATTCGGGGAATATTTCAAGCTGAAAAATGCCACAACATAAATGTAACTTTGGTAGGCTTACGCATTGTATAAATTCTAAAACATTTTTCGCTTCTAAATCTAGTTTACAGTTTTGCACTAAATAACAGTTATAGGTATTGTTCTTGTTGTGTGTATAATATGTGTAGTAGTGTAATATTAACCACTTTTAAACATTGCTACACGCGAATAAATACTAGGCTCAAAAAATACAGATTTTTGATATTGGAACGACACAAAAGTCGGAACGGAGAAAAGCATAAACGAAATGCCAAAATAATTTGAAACACTCAGTCTCAGGTCTCCATGATAGTTTTTTTTCCCTACTTTTCATTTACGAGAACAGATTGTTGCGCCTTTTGAGGGAGCCGAACTTCTTCTCCGCCTCGATTAACATTTTTTCGTTTCTAACCACTTCGAAAGGAATGGTTCTGGACAGACGATCCATTTCCTGGTCCGAGGGAAAGTCCTCAAAGCTCATGTTGCTGAAGCCGGTTTTGGCCGAATTCTGAATGGTGTTCGATTGGAAATTGCGACTGCCACCTGCTCCTCGATTCTCATCCTGATCCGGTTCGTCGTCGTCATCGTCGTGGGATTGGTACTGCAATCGCTGGTGCTTCTGCTTGCTGCCAGAACTGAGGGAAGTGGTGGATCCCAGGGCGGCAGCGGTTACTTTTTTGTACGAGTGTCCCTTCACCTTTTGGGTGAGCTTACCGGGCAGAACCCTCACAGCCAGATGGGACTTCTCCTTCTTGACCTTCCCAGGGGCTGGTATACTGATTCCGTCTGCCACCACATCGGCATCACGCAGCACCACGGGCTCCTCCTCGTCGTCCGGTGTGAAGTCGGAGCAGCGATCTTGGGAGATTTGCACATAAGCATTATCGGCAATGGGCAGCAATGGTCGAAGATGGGTGGCGGCAGCTGGAATTGGAGCTGGAACTGTTACGGAAACGGGGGCAGGAACTGGAACAGGTGCCGGAGTTGGAATTACTGCTGCTGGTGAGGATTGTGGCTGGTTAATGGAGCAGGAGCTGGTGCTAATGCTGGAGTAAGACGGCACATTCACATAGACACTGCTGGTGCCACTCGACTTGACCATCTGGTTATTATTATTATTATAGTTCATCGGTGGCTCCGGCGTTTTGTTGATAATAATCGAGTGATTTATGGTCACCAGTTGTGGGGCAGACACATTGACAGAAACGGACACGGGAACGGAGGCAGGAAGAGAGACAGACACGGAGGCGGGCACTTTGATCACATTGTTATTGTTGTTGTTGTGGCTGGGAAAGTGGTGGATCTGGTGGTGCTGCGGGTTCTGTTCGATGGTTCGAATTACCTGGGGAAACGGCTCCAAGCCGAACAGATCGCATTGATTATTTTCCACCTGTTCCGGCTGCTGTGAGTTCCCCTGGAAGGGATTGAAAATTGGTTCATTGAACTCATCTAGCTGCGGGGAATTTCCCGTTTGATTTGTAGGCGTCAGCTGGGCTGGAAAGTTGGCAAAGTTAGTTGCGGGATCTCCAGCTCCTGCAGCCTTAACTGGTGTAGAAGTCCACATTTCGGGTTCCGAGGGTTTCGGCTTAGCCTTGGGTTTACTCTTCCTTTTGGGAGGGATTCCCACGGGTAACTTAAATGGAGCCAGGGCAAACACATCTTCCTCTGACTCGAGGGTCTCTGTATTAGTTGGTAGTGGTGCCGCCAGTGGAGATTCAGTACTGCTCTTGCTTTCTCCAGAACCATAGTCCAATTCATCATCCAGCAGCAGCGGACGATCGCCAAACTTGTGCAGAAGATCGCTGGAGGTGGGACTTAGCTCCTCGGATGGGACACTTGGATCTCCATTACTGGCCACGAGACTCCTGTCCTTCTTCCTCATCCGCACTTTAACCACCACCCTACTCCGCACATCATCTTCATGGGTGGTCACGCTTTCACATTCAGCATGATAAGCAGAACTGCTGCAGGTCTTCACCGACTCGCTAATTCCATCCATTTCCGTTGGCAAAGGACGACGTAGCTTGGCCTGCGTCTGGCGTGGATTCTCGTCGAACAGGTCATCGTCCTCTGCTCGCAGATCACTGGCAGATCCTATGGAATCCCCGTCCGATTCTGCCGCCTTGGCAGCTTCTTCAGCCTGGGCAGCCACTGCGGCAGCCATGAGATTCAGCTGTTGGGCCGCCTGATGGGCAGCTGTTGTGGGTTTCTTAGTCTTGTCGCGAAGTTTTTTCACAATTGGAAGATGTGCTGTCTTATCCACCTTGTGATATGCCACCTGTTGGATCTTATGAATGGTTTCCGGCAAATTGCTGGTCACCAGCTGCATCTGCTTGAAGATGCCGCCACCTCCTTCATCACTATCTTGTTGAAAGAACTCGGAACCTTCGGAATCGGAGTCATCGGAAGTGGGCTGATCCTTGCTGCGCAGCTTCTCGTACTTGTTCCGGTCGTCTAGTGGGAGCTTAACATAGCCAGAGACACCTTCCCCAGATCCGCCAACACCTCCTGGAATGCCACCTTCTGAATCGGTTTTCAGTTTGCTGATAAGCGAGGTCTTCTCCTCGCTGGAAACCTCCAAAGTAGGAGAGAGGAGCCACTTGGATGAGTTGGATGAGGTGGCGGTGTTGGCTCCTCCTGTTACCAAGCCGATGGGCGTGGACACGCTACCTCCTGATCCACCAGAGGAAACGCCGATGAATTTCGCTGTGGACGAGAGCGAAGGACTTTTATGCAGTAAGGTAATGAGATTACGGGTTTACGGGTTAGCGGCAGTTTGTTCTACAACTAATTATGAATGGAATGTGTGAGAGCATGTGGATGATCCCCTGGAATATAATGAGTTACTGAGTGATTTATGTATGCTTTATGCTCAACGTGACGTATACGTAATAATTTCGTTAGTTCAATGACGAAGGCGACGATAAAAGCTGGAATACATTATAATGTTGATCCAAAAGTTAGTTCGTGGAATTATGTGTAGATTTTAAGGAATGCACAGTTCAATTGAAATTTGTATATATTTTTTTTTATTAAATGTTGATCTGAGCATTTTAAATTAAAATGTTTTAAATTTTTGGTACTCAACGTTTTGGGCTTTCATTTAGACCACAGATAAAAAATTAAGAAAAAAACTAGAAAAAAATACGGTAATTTTAGAAATATTATTATACCGATAGATTTTAATAAATTTAAAGATTAACTTTATTTAATTGGGGCTGTGCATGCCTGGAAATCCAATTATTTATTAAATATATTACCCACACATTTAGTTAGTTTGATTTACATTTTGTGAATTTTCAGTTTGGTTTTGAAACATAATATAGAGTTTATTGCAGTTTTGCTTCAGTTTTTGTTTAAATCTCATACAATTCTTGTGGCTGAACTTAAGCTAACGCCCTTTCTTAACTGGTTTGTATAAATATATAGTGCTTTATGTATATATAGATATAATCTGTATTTGTTGTCATCTGATAATTTGCTTGTATGTGTCTTGGTTACCTGACTTTTGTTGCTTTCATTGCGCTTTATCTGTTGCTCATCTTGGGTACTCTAAATACTAAATTTTAGCTCTTTGGTTTAACGCCTCAAGGTGTCCACTCCCATCGATTTAACTTATGTACAGTATTAACAAGAGCAGTAGTTATAGCTAATTGAACATTTCAATTGGTGTGTCTGTGTGTGAGAGAGAACAATTTGGACAATTTGGAAAACATTCTTAGACTATGTATCTCGGACTTTACGTGTATTGTCTTGCTTTGATTGGACTCTCGTGGTGTCTATTAACAATTGATTGGGTTACTTTTGTTTGTTCGACTGCTGCCACATCCGCAGAGATCGCAGCTTGATACGAACTTTATCGAAAGCGTAAAATATAAAACAATTAGAAGATAAGAACCTTAATCGAGTTTGCTGTCATTTTAAGCGGTAATGGAATCTACAGATCCATAATAATCTCATTAGCATAAATCTTTAGAATTGCACGTTTTTAACACATGAATAGTAAGTAATAACTTTGATATGCAAATTATTGCCAAAAATGTATACGCTAGTTAGAATTTAATTGCTTCACACTCTACGCCAACAACATGAATAAATAGTTCTAGGTTTTCTCTTAGTTA